AGGGGAGCTGAAGGTGAGCTTAAGTTGGTTCGTTTTTTCGGACCCTTGGCGTGGATTACAAAGGGGATGAAAGGAGATCCGCCATTACTTGGGAAATGTATCATTGGGGTGTTAAAACGAAGACCTTAGGACATCCGACATTATTTGTGGCCCAGTTTGGGGTCGAGGCAAACTTTGGGCGGACAAGGAGCCCTGGTTCGAGACCCGCGCCAGGTCTTTGGGGCGGTTGAGGTCAGCCAGGTCATGCCATCCTACGCGGCCTGGCCGGAGCATTTGACCCCCCGCAGCGGGGGATTTCGGTGTTCCTCTCGGTTTCCCTTGCCTCAAAAAAGGAAGCGCACTCGAATCGGCAGATCCTCAAAACGTGCAGGGATTCGGCAGAAAGTTGCAAAGAGGTAAGAGGGCAGTACATGGATTCTTGTATTCAACCATTGCAGGCGCTTACTGTCACCATTCCCGAATGGCCTTGGCGATCTGAAGCATGCTCATGCACTTCAAGCATTCCAACTCTGCCATGATCTTGTTTTACTCGGTGGCTTCTCCAGTCCCAAGGGTGTTTTCACATCCGTAAGGTGATACAGCTGATGGCGCAGGCCGGCTCAGGGGGCGGTCCGGAAGAGCCGAGACCCCGGAGCTTAGTGCCGGTCCGACAAGATGTGTTCCTTTTCGCAGATATCTGAAGGGTAGATTGGCTTAGAGGCTGCGGTTTGGGCCTTTTTCTCAGCTCCGGCAGGTACGCAAAGAGGCTGAGGTGCCAGCGGCTCAGCCCAGGAAAAGCTGCACGTGAGAATGATCTGCGAAGCGCAGAAGCGCGCGCCGTTTTTCGATTCTCCCGTGGTTTTGAAAACCACGGCATTTCTTGGAGGTGTCTTGCAGCCAGCACTCTGATGGATCGGTGCAGTACCGACTCCACCATCCGGGCACCCACACAAGGCGCCTTGTAGCTGCGTGGCTTTGTGGCTCGCCCACGGAAACGTGAGGGACCACTTCAATCATCTTGACTCAAAGATTTGCAACCGCAGCATCCCTGACCAGGGTGACTCAATCTAGCTGCAACCAGTTTGGTCACATTGGTTAACTGTTTGATGCAACCAGTCCCTCCGACCATCTTGCAGCAAAACCCCTGCCAGATGGACTCGAGGAGGACAGCGACTCAGGCACGCCTATGCTTGCATCGCGGAGTCGCGGAATCCTGTTGCCAAACGTGAACTCCAAGAACAGTCGGCTATTGAATCTGTTGTGCTGACTTGACAGTTGAACGGCTAGAGAGATTCTGCCTACATTGACTCATTCTTCTCCTCCTTCCCTTCCTCCCTTCCTCCCTTCCTCCTCCCTCTCTCCCCCCTCCCCTCCCCTCCCCTCCCCTCCCCTCCCCTCCCCTCCCCTCCCTCCCTCCCCTCCCCTCCCCTCCCCTCCCCTCCCCTCCCCTCCCCCCCTCCCCTCCCCTCCCCTCCCCTCCCCCCCTCCCCTCCCCCATCAAGACATAAGGCTCCCACGCAGAAACAGTTCGCTTCCCGCCCCTTATGACCGCTGGCCACCGGGGTAAACGCGTCTGTCAAAAGATGCCGCCAAATACGCAGCCAGTGCCCGCAAAACACTGTGCAGGCGAATGTTGGCCACTTGTGCTGGACCCTTAAATGTCACCCGTCATCAGGCACCTGGTACGATGCGGTTAGGGCCCAAGCTGGGCTGGGATGGCAGCAATCTCTGTTTCTGCGACACAAGAAGGCTCACTTTGCCCAGGACTGTTGTGAGGTGCATGAGGAATCAAGAGTCTCTTTCGGCACATGCGCAGATCTACAACTGCTGCAGACTGATGTTATCTTTCAAGGGGCGGGATTGCCAGCCAGGTGCAGGCAGGCATCTACCAAATCTAAATTATGCCTTTGCTGCGCACATATTTGCCTGCAATCAGATTAAAACTATTCAGAGCAGAAGTTGCAGACGTATTTCATGGACGTTTTTCTGGGCAAGCCGGGTTTTGATGGAGTGTTGCGCCCCATAGGATTGAAGATACAGGGTCTCAGATTCAATGGATGTCACATGCTGCCAGAGCCAAATTTGCCTTGCATTGCTGCCAGGGCTCCTTAACAGATCTCCCTTTTGCAGCCATTTGAAACATGTTGCTTTTTCAACACCAAAATAAAAAGGACACCATTTACAGGTGTATAATGTAAGGATCCCTGATTGCAGTTCGAGTATATCGGAACTGACGCGGCCAAGTTCCGATGCGCGTCCGATGCGCATCCAGGTTGACCGTTTGGCAGGGAACGCAGAGCAAGTGGCAGGCGGGATGCAGCAAGCCCATCTGGTTCTGGGTTGCTTCAGGCACTTTCTGGGTTGCCCTCTTCCCGGGCTTCAGTTTCCAGTGCTCTGGCTGCGCACGAAGGTTTGGCCGCATGCCTTACGCTTGGCTCAGTGCAATCTAAGCTGCGTGCGGCCGTTGCACTTTACATCCATAATGTGCTCCATCTCAATTTGTGTACAAGTACAGGTTGCCCACTGCCAGTTTGTAGCCTCAGTCCCGCGTACACCTGGCCAATTCCATGAGTGTGTCGCCAGGCTTTTCCATGCTCGACACGCATCAAATCACACGGAGCCAGCGACAACTTTCAACAGAATCCTCTGTTGTGGTGTTGCTTCGAGCCGATGCCTTCCCTGTATCAGCTAGCCATTGGCCCCATCCTTGTAGATCAACCAGTAGATGGTTCGATGGAGTTTGAGCAAACCACTGCCTTTGCGGCCGCTCACCCAGCAAGCTTTAGATTCCGCACGTGTCAGGAACTGCAATCCAAGAAGATGCTTGGAAGGCTCGCTGTATGATGTTTGAGGCTGCTCAATTTTGAGTGGCCATGTTTCGTTCTCAACATGAATGTTTCAAAGCTCAGCGAACAGGAGGTAACAGCTAGCTTACAGTCACAGATATTACTGTTCATGATGATTGGCAAATGCAAGCTGATACAACTTGCTTGTGCCCCCAGATTCAGGTTGTACAAACAACAAGCTGCTCTTTGCATATTCCATGCGCAGGTGCCGTGGAAGAGAGAGATCACAGTGGTAACTGATATTTGCTGCAATTCGCCGTCATTTTTGCAGTACAGGGGATGAGTTCTCATACCCGGAGGGCCCCCTCCTGGCTGATAGGCGGATGTGTTTTTTTTTTTTGTTTTTTTTTTTTGCGTTTCGGGAGGAGCACCTCGACCTGACTGATCGTGGGTCATGTGCCGTTGGCCAGGTGAACCTGACGACGCCTCCAGGCGAGATGGGAATCGCTGTACCTAGTGAACAAAAACACAACAGAAATAGCCACAAAACTCAGCGATCGCTGAGGTTTGCAACCGTCAGCCGTCCTCTTGCGGTTGAAACATGCAGGATCGGAGCCAAAACGATGGGAGGCGGAGCTTTGTGTAGTTTTTGGCTCTGGTCCCAGTTTGGTTGGCCTGTTGGGCTGATGGGCTGGCTATTGGGCTGTGGGTTCGGTTAAAAGCAGTCTTTCGTGAGCTGGCAGGTCTGGACTGCGCACCACTCTTCCTCCGAGAGATCTCAGCCGCAAACCAGGCAGAGCCCAGAGACGCTTTGGTCCCAGCCCCATCGTTGACTTCAAGTCTCAGCGCCCCAAGTCTCCCCCCCAACGCTCAGTGGATTTGGAGACACCAAAATGGTCCCCCCCAACTTGTGGCGACGCTTGGTGTGCGGGGTCCAAGGTAAACACCTTTTCAAGCCTGCGAATTGCGAATTGCTTACCGCAGGCTTGGGCGCCGGCTGGCGCCTAAGTCCTCGCGTCCCGCCTGCCGACATGCAGCTGCCGCAAGCGCTTTCCCAGCTGGCTGTGGGTCAACACCAATGGTACCATTTTGGGGTAGGTGCACTGCACAACCCATTTTAGTCTATTTTAGTGGGGATTGGGATGTTCACTGGGGGTACGGGATTTTGACCCATGGCCAGCTGTGGCTGAGGCAAAGATGTCTGCTGGCTTGCATGACGCACCAAAACCGCCGGTGTTGTCAGCCCGGCACGGATTGATGGCTGGCTGGTTCTAGCCATGATTCGCATCACGGCTCCGGGCAAGAGTCATTCTGGCGAAGCACAGCAGCGCACAAAAACACACCCTTGCTTTGGCTGGACCTTGGCGGGCATGGCTGTTCTGAACTTCTACGCACCTGTACTTCACATTTCTTCCTCTCGGGAACTTTGGATGCGAAAAGAGGGGAGCATGCACACGTAGCTGCAGAGGAGGAGCACAACAAAGAAAAGAGTCATAACAAAACATTGCCCAAAAGCGGCTTACATTTAGGACAGCCTTTCCGCGCAGTCTGAACATGAGACATGTATTTGACCACCTGACCAGTATGTCGGTGGTTTTTTTGTGACAAGTTTCTTTTTAGAATGAACGTTTATATTCTTGCACGGGCGCCCTTGAATCAGTATGCCCGACGGTTTCTCTGCCGCATGCTTTTTTGGTTTCTACGGCATACGACTGCTCTGCGGTGCTTCAATGGAGCGCTCGAGTGAGTGACCGAATTTGACGTCCTGCTTACAATGAGAGAGATTTGCCCAATACCGACTGATGAGCCTTGATATTTTTTTCAGCATGATTTGCCGCTTTTTCTGAATCGGACGCTACTCCACAGCAATCCGTTGCTTGTCTGGTTGCAGCAATCTGAGTAGTTTTTGAAGTTGTTCAGCTGGACGTGGACAACGAAGGGAGCATGCACATGTGCTTGCTTTCAAGGTTGACTAGGCCATGGCCGCCAGCTCTAAGATGGAAGGGATCCCAGATGGCACGAAACGCATGCAAGCCATACTGGAGCCTAGTTGCTGGCACACAGCATGCGTGGTTGCCGCGGCTTTTCCGGTGCCGGAGAAACCGCCTCAAGCAACCCGCCCCTCAAACAATCCGCCGATTCGCTTTGCATAGGCCCGCGTCCTGCCTCACGGAGGAGGAGGCAGGCAGGGTGATCCAGAACAGACAGGCTGCGGGTTTGGGATGCGGAAGTTGAAGGCCCACTGACCAAATGTGTCGCAGAGCGCAATTCAGCAGTCGGTGGATCAGGGCTTTCCACCTGGAGGTGTTTTCGTGGTGCTTCTTTGTTGGGTCGCGTTGGTACGGCAAAAATGTCGAGCCGTCAAACAACCTGCTCAGTTTCGTGTGAAGTAAGAAGAGTAACACACCCAATACACAGCCTCTTTGGCAACAAACGTGCCCGAGCACCGCCCCAGGGAGAAAAACACAAACCACAAGCTTGTTGCAATGCAGTGGCCCAATGCACCTGCCGCCCACGCCAAAGTGTCCAGGAGTTCTGTGAAACCTTGCCCGACTCTATGCATGACAACGGAGCGACCGCCTTTCTTTACAGAGGACTATAGTAGAGGCCGGGCATAAGCATCTTTGGAGCAACATACTGAATCAGGTGCAGAACGAGGTAGGAACACCCAAAGCAGGGCATGTCCAGACTCACTGCAGATGAAGCGGTCCCAATGCTGGCCACAGCTTAGCTCCCTGGCTATTTTTGTCCAAGTTTGGGCCCAAGCTAAAAGGTCTAGAACAAGGCCAGACCGATGCCCTGAGGCAGTCCAAATGAGCACGTGTCCATTTGGCTCCCACAAGGCCCCTCCAACGCTTCCATGTGATGTTACGCTTATTTGTTTTTTTTTTGTTGACTCTGCCAGGTCAGTCAGTCAAAGCGGCGTGTGAGGGATAGAAAGCACAGACAAACACACATGCATATGCGATGTAATTTGCACCTGCACGGGCCGGATCATCCACAGCATGACGCATTTCACTCTGCCCGAATGCTGCTCAGCAATATATCACGGACACCTGAACAAAGTCTAGATTCAGAGCACGGCCGGCTCAAAGTATGAACATGCGCATAAATCCCCAAACAATGTCCGGAGGGCCCTCCATAAACTTTTTTTTTTTTTTTTGTGACTGCCGGTTCCAGGAACCGCTTGGCCTGGAGATCCCGGTGGAATCTGGCAGCCTCTACATGAAAGCGGCAGGCGACTTCGGGAATTCGCGAAATCGCACCGTGAGACAGGCAGTCATGTTAGCCTGAAGCAGATTTAAACAATCGCAGAAAAACTGGCTTGCCGCTTGCAAGTGGCTAGGTGGGATTCACAATGTCAGCGGTTTTTGTACTTGTTCAGTTTGCAGGTATTCTTGTGTTTTTTCAAAACGCCTTCTGCCAATATCAATTCATGATATGCATGCTAGGCCCGAGCAACATGGCATGGCCGCCGATGTTCTGAGGCTCCAAATGCAGACCGCAGCCACTGCGTCTTCGGCACGGAATGCGGGGTGCCTCACAGGGCCGGCCCTGGTCAGGAGAGCCACAAGCAAAACCCGGGTAAGTGAAGGCTAGGTACAATCCCCACCAGAAATAGCTGCGGATCTCCGCCTTCATAATTCTTGAAGCATGGTTCTGGGTCTAAAACAACTAGTACCGGGTTTTGCTTCTGACTCTTGTGACCTGCGGTGAGCGATCCGCTGTGGCGGAGAAAAAGCAGCCAGGTGCCAAGAGGAGTTTGGGTGGGTCAAAACCAGTGGGATCCCATTTCGGGGTAGGTGCACCACCCATTTTAGAACCTATTTTACTGGTTGGATTGAATCGGATGTTCACTGGGGCTACTGGCTTTGGATGTTGACCCATGGCCGTTTCAGACAGCTCCGAGGTTCGACGTGCGCGTGGTGCTGCGCGCCCTGGAGTGCGGGGCCTCGTGGCCGGGGAGCCTAGCGAGAGCTTGGCCGAGAGGTGCCACGGCTTGCGACTGCCTTGTAACTCAGACGCAGCAAAAGCTTACGTCCAGCTTCGCCGTTGCAAAATGCGAAAGGTGAAAAGGAGATTGAGACCAAACAAAAGGAAGAGGATGGCTTGAGGTGTCGGTTGGCTTGTGAAATTTGTGCCTTACGTGTTCACATTGCCCCATATTGAAGCGGTCTTCCGTCACCTTCCGAGTTGAGCATGGCCAAGGCCACGCGGAGGCAAGGGTCAAATTGCGCGTTGAAGCTGATCAGACCAAAGGTCTTGATTTCCCGGCGATGATGGCCATCTCGAGTCTGGCGTAACAGCTTTGGGAGAACTTCCGGGCTTGCGCGGGGCGTGGGGGATGTTCCGATCCCGAGGAAGCCTTTTCTCGAGTGCCCCAATGTGCTGCAGCCGGTTGCAGCCAGAGCCCTGAGCACCAAATCGATCGCCTCGGCTGGAAGACCGAGGGCGCCGATCCAAGCGACGTCTGTGTGTGTGTGTGTGTGTGTGTGTGTGTGTGTGTGTGTGTGTGTGTGTGTGTGTGTATGTGTATGTGTATGTGTATGTGTATGTGTATGTCTGTGTATGTGTATGTGTATGTGTATGTGTATGTGTATGTGTATGTGTTTGTGTTTGTGTGTGTGTGTGTGTGTGTGTGTGTGTGTTTGTGTTTGTGTTTGTGTTTGTGTTTGTGTGTTTGTGTTTGTGTTTGTGTGTTTGTGTTTGTGTTTGTGTGTTTGTGTTTGTGTTTGTGTATTTGTGTTTGTGTTTGTGTATGTGTATGTGTATGTGTGTGTGTGTGTCTGTATGTGTGTTTTCTTTTGGGTGCGTATGCTTCCTACATGCTTCGGAGTCCAATTGACATGCGTTCCTTGGCAGCGATTGGCGGATGGGTGTTAACGTGTTGTCACTTGGGTTCACTTGCAAGAGACTGAGGTGATTGCCGACTCGCAGAGCGCTCAGCCTGATTGGAGACTTGGGCATTCGAGTCTCCGATTGTTGAAGCAAAGTGTTTCGTGCACGTCGCCAACCTGTGGTTTGCAGTGCTAGCATTCTTGATCAATCTGACCTTGCCAGGGCAAAGCATGTTTTTTGTTTTGTCTCAAATGGGAATCAGACTCCTTGTTGGAACAATCTAAAAGGAAACCAAAAAGGACATCGCCTACCAGGAGGGGTCTCCAATTTTGAGAAACGCCCATGTCATCTCAGAATCTCACCCGAGGCCGCTTGAGGGCATGGACTCGCGCGGGATCCCAACCTTGCATCGATGGGGGGGGTGGGGGGCAGGCAGTCGCAAGCCTTACGCCTTGTTGCAACAGAAGGGCCCATGAGGTCTGTGTTTGTTTTGTACGTTGGGATTTGTTGGGTTTCTTAGAGTTCTAGCACTTGTCCAACAACAATGCAAGAACACCTCGAGCTCCTTCTCAAACAAGAAGAAGTAAGTAAATGAAATATAAGATAGAATAAACACATAGCAACATATACAACAAAATAGGACCCCAACTCAGCCAACATGGACACATAGGCTCTGCGCAAGGCCTGTCAAAGGCAGCCTGAAGCCCAAGCCATTCTCGCTCTGTCTCAAAGCTGTTTTTTTGTATGTTTATCCACCCACCGATAGAAACGCCAGGAAAATGCATTGTTCTATTCGGATGCAAGGTTTTGATTCAACGCTTAAAGTCTAGAAATCCAGTTATGGTTCAACCAGAATTTCTACTTCGAAGTAGAATCTAGCAAGAAGCTCCTTTCCAACTAGGATTCGATTAATATTTAACCAGCATTTAAATACAAGAGGAACAAACTCAACTAGATGTTTATTTTACATTGATAGAGCTGAAATTGCAATTTCCTTTTGGGTTTCTATTGGCTTTTCGCTCGTTTTCAGGCCCAGACTTCCTTGCTTCATTGAATTCCAGTCAAAATTCAATTCAAACCCTATTTGGAAAGGACATCCTGTTTAAGCTTCAGCTCAAAATAGACATTCTACTTGGATCGTTATTACAAGTGATGTATGTTCTAATTGGGTGTTCATCAAACTCCTGTGGAAGGAGTTCCTATTCCAAAAAACACGGACAGATCCTCACTTTTTCCAAACCATGGCAGACCATATGTGAGAACGACTAAGGATTTGGAGGCATGCCTGACATTTAAGTGTTTTTGTCACTTTTTTTCTTCAAAACATGCAAGACATATTGAGTTGTCAAAAAACAACAAGCACATAACACAATAGAATCACAAAGCATCTCGCACAAAACATGTCTTTTCAAACCCCATGTGGTTACAGCTCAGGATTTGGAGCCACGGGAAAAGTGTCAGTTTGTGTTTTTGGGAGTCTTGAAGCAAAGAAATGCGTTTCGCCGTGCCTGCCCACGCGCGCGCGCGATCGTAATTCTCGGAGAGCTGTGGCTGTTGGGGTTCCAATTGTTACATTTCAATCACCCACCCTCCATGAGGGGACGCTCCCCATTGCAAATGGTTCTCTTTGTCTCCTCAGAGTCATTGGAACATTTACATTCACGTGCCAATGCAGTTCTGCGAATCATTGCATGATCTTTTGCCAGCCCACATCTACACGCCTTGGAACTGATGGCTTCAATGACAGAGCACTTGCCTCGCCAGACCTTCGTATACCAAGAGAATATTTAAGGAATACTAGGGCAATACTGAAGGCATTCCCCTAGTATTACCCTGGGTTTTGGGGGGGGTACCATATAGCAACTCCCCCCCCCAAAACCCAGGTTTTGAACCTGGACAATTGCCAAAATCACTAGGGAAAATGCTACTTTTGAGATATTTTCGCCTCTGCGAAACGCATATTGTTCAAGTTCAAGGCAAGTTCAATTAGTTAGTCAAACAACCAGTGAGCAAGTCAGCTAATTAGTCAGTTAAATAGTTGTAATGAATGAGCTCTGAAGCCAGTTAGCTAGTTAATTGGCTAATCAGTTAGTTATCTATTTAGCTGCCTAGTTAGTTAGATAGTACTGAAGGTATTCCCCTAATATTTCCCTTCCCTGACTAGTGAAATATTTAGGGAACACTAGCTAGGGGTATACCAAGAGATACTAAAGGAACTCTAGCGCAATACTAGGGGAATACTAGGGCAATACTAGGTACATACTCAGGGAATACGAGGGCAATATTAAAGGTGAATACTGGGATAATACGCCGGAGTACTGAGGGAATACTAGGGGTATACTCTCAAGCTCAATCTGTCTGACTTCTCTCAGGCTTCCTGACTAGGGCAATACTAG